TATGTACAAGGAACTCTTAAAACTCAACAATAAGAAAATAAACAGCCTGACTAAATAAAGGACAAAAAGCCTGAATAGATTCCTTGCCAAAGAAGATACACAAATGACAAACATATAAAAGGATGTCATTAGGGAATTACGAGTTAAAACAGCAACAAGATAACACTATGTATCTATTAGAATGGTCAAAATCCGAAACACAGACAATACCATATTCCAGCAAGAATTTCGAGCAGCAAGAACTCTCAATCATTGTGGATGGGAATGGAAAATGAAAGAGTTTGGGAGTTTCTTACTATATTGAACATATTCTCAAGAGACAAATACTGAATAATTCCACTGATATGAGGTATCTAAAGTAGTCACATTCACAGAAACAAGAAGTAGAATAGGAAAGGGTGAAGGGGAGTTGTTGTTTAGTAGGTATAGGATTTCAGATTTGCAAGATGAAAAACTTCTGGAGAAGTGTGAATATATACACATATACTTATATACATATACTTAAGGATGGCTAAATAGGTAAATTTTATGTTTTGTTTTTTTTTTACCACACACACACAAAACCAAACACACTCTTGACATATGGTCCAGAAATCATTTTCCTTGGTATTTACCCAAATAAATTGAAAATTTATGTACACACAAAAACCCTGCACATTGGGCTTGGCGCCCATAGTACAGTGGTTAAGGCACCAGCCACATATACTGGGGCTGGAGGATTCGAACCCAGCCTGGGCTGGCTAAAGGACAATGACAACTGCAACAAAAAATAGCCAGGCATTGTAGCAGGGGCGTGTAGTCCCAGCTACTTGGGAGGCTAAGGCAAGAGAATCACTTAAGCCCAAGAGTTTGAGGTTGCTCTGAGCTGTGATGCCACGACACTCTATTGAGGGTGACATGGTGAGACTCTGTCTCAAAAAAAAACAAACAAAAAAACCCCTGCACCTTGAATGCTTATGGCAGCTGTATTCATAATATCTAAGAATTGAAAGCAACCAAGATATCTTTCAGTAGATAAATGTATGAATAAACTGTGGTACAGCTATGCAATGGAGTGTGATTCAGTGCTTAAAAGGAGTGAGCTATCAAGCTAGAAAAGACAGGGAGGAAGCTTAAATGCATATTTCTAAGTGAAATAAATGAATCTGAAAAGGCTTTATACTATATGATTCCAAATATATGACATCCTGGAAAAGGCAAAAGAACAGGAAAAAGATCAGTGATTGCCCAGAGTGAGACAGGAGGGAGGAATGAATAAGCAGAGCACAGAGCATTTTTAGGGCAGTGAAATTTTTCTGTATGATACTACATGACATTATACCTTTGTTGAAACCCATAGAATGTACATCAGGAGACCCTTAATGTATTGAGTGATGATGATGTGTCAGTCTAGGTTTATCAATTATAACAAATGGCCTGGGCACAGTGGCTCAAGCTTGTAATCCTACCTCTCTGGAAGGCTAGGGTGGGAGGATGGCTTGAGGTTAGGAGTTTAAAACTAGCCTGAGCAAGAGTGAAACCCACCATCTCTACTAAAAAATAGAAAAAATTAGCTGGGTGTGGTAATGTGCAGCTGTAGTCCCAGATACTTGGGAGGTTAAGGCAGGAGGATCACTTGGACCCAGGTTGCAGAGATCTATGATGACACTACTGCCCTCTAACTGGGGCAACACTGTGCAACCCTGTCTCAAAAGAAAAAAAATCCACAAATATACTACTTGGGTGCAAAATGTTAATACCATGTTTCCCTGAAAATAAGACCTACCTAAAAAATAAGCCCTAGCAGGATTTCTATGCATTTGTTAAATATTAGCCCTACCCCAATAATAAGACCTAGTGATGGTCTTCAGCGTGGAGAAGAATACATTCCCTGAAAATAAGCCCTGGTGTGTCTTCTTGAGAAAAAATAAATATAAGACAGTGTCTTATTTGGGGGGAAACACAGTAGTAGGGAAGATTGAGGCTGTCTCTGTGTGTGTGTGTGTATGTGTGTATTGGGTGTTGAGATGGGTATAAGAGAACTCTTTGTACTTTTTGCTCAATTTTGCTGTGAACTTAAAAATTCTCTAAAAAATAAAGTCTAAAAATGAACCAAGAAAAATGCTGAAATCTTGTTTTCAGTAATTGAAGGATATGAAAGTATGGAGGGTTTCTTATACTACCAAGCTGGTTGCCAAAGGTACATTAGCTCCATCATGGTCAGTTGCTGAGGGTTGTTAGATCCAAATGGGATCATTCTCCCATTCTAGTCCTCACACAGAAAGGTTGGTAATCACTGAGAATAGATATGTAAAAAAGCATTTTGTATACTTTGACTATTCTATAAATTAAAGATGAATTTCTATTTCTGTCCTTGAGTTGAAAAGATCACCCAGGACTTAAATGACTTTTAGTTTAAAATAAAAAATATGTGGTAATTGAAGAATATGATGAACATATGATTTCTTTTTTTATTTGCAGATTCAAAATGTTCTTCATGAATTTTTTCAAAATACAGATTTTGATCTTGGTAGGTCTTCCTATTACTTTGGTATTTTTATTTATTTTGTCTTTGGGGGAAGGGTAGTGAATGCAGATGAATGGTCAAAATGGAGACAGAGGTTATTCAAAGCCCTTATAGATGTAATTAGCCTTTTCTGGACTTTCCAGGTAGACAATGTAGAGAAGCAATAAGAGATTTTCAATCCTTTTAATCCAGTGCCTATTTTGCTACCAGTATTCCATAATACCCTCTTATTGTTCTATGACATTCCTAGAAAATATTACTTACATTGATAGAATTTAAAAAGAAATATGTAATGTTATAACTGTGATATAAAGAAAAAATAGAAGGGGGCAGCACCCGTAGCTCAGTGGGTAGGGCGCTGGCCACATATACCAAGGCCGGTGGGTTCAAATCTGGCTTGGGCCTGCTAAAACAACAATGACAACTGCTAAATAACAACAGCAAAAATAGCCAGGTGTTGTGGTGGGCACCTGTAGTCCCAGTTACTTGGGAGGCTGAGGCAAGAGAATGATTTAAACCCAAGAGTTTGAGGTTCCTGTGAGCTGTGATGCCACGGCATTCTACCCAGAGCGACATAGTGAGACTCTGTCTCAAAAAAAAAAAAAAAGGACAAATACAAGGAAAGATACAAGAAAATTGTATGTACTACATTTCAGTACATAAAGGCTTTGTTAAAACTTTACTAGAAGACATAATGGAGTAGTCAGAAGTTTCTACCAATTTATAGTGAACGTTTAGGTATAAGAAAAGTAAAATTTATAGACAATTAACTATTTGACATTTGAAATAAGGACAAAATGAATGGATTTGTATACAAGGTCTCACAATTAAGTTCTCAAACTCATCTTAGAAAAAGTGCAATAAACTTCATTGCTGAATATCACTATGGTCATCTTTGAAGTACTGCCCCTGGGAAGCTGTGCACTGACACCAGCATGTAGTCCGCCCTTCAAAGCAATTTTGGAGCTCTTTTTCTGGAGTAACCATCAGAGCTGTCATTGTACGGCAGACAAAAACATGCAACAATAATGAATGCATGCCATTCAGCAATACATCTCCATACATCCACACAAACACAACTATACGACACTGATGTATCAACACAACTGTCAAGACACTGGTATATCGTGCTTCTGTTTGTAAGCACTATATAAACAATTTTGTATAGTGCTTATGTTTGTATGATGCTGACGAACATAAGCACGAAGTGGCAAGTTCATAAACTTCATTATCAGGCTTTTCTACAACAATTCTGATGGTCATTCCAGAAAGAGTTCTAAAATTGCTCTGAAGAGTGAACTAGATGCTGTCATTGGTGCATAGCTTCCCAAGGGAGTACTTCCAAGGTGACCACAGTGTTATTCAGCAATGAGGTCTGTAGAACTATTTCTAAGCTGAGTTTGCAGACTTAATTGTCTAACCTGGTATGCACATAGAATCCCCATAAATAGCTACAAATGCAGACTGACACAGGTGTGTTGTATTAGAGTTCAGAGACAATTTTTTTCTTTTCTTTTTTTGGAGAGTCTTGCCCTGTCACCAGAGCTAGAGTGAAGTGGCATCATCATAGCTTACTGCAACCTCAAACTCCAGGGCTCAAGCTATCGTTCTGTCATAGCTTCCCATGTAGCTGGGACTATATCCATGTGTCACCACACCTGGCTGATTTTTCTTTTTT